AAAATATGAGGAAATATCTAATACTGTGATAGATCGCAAATAGATAGAATCGCAAAAGACATTTATATTTTGAATGCACGAAAAGATAAACTACTATACGAACTCTGTACAAAAATCTCAAAACTTTGATTTATTTACAAATAGCCAGATAACCATTCTTTATCGTCCGTTTACTATTAACTGTAACAACTGTATTTCTTCCGCACTACAAGGTCATAAAAGATGGAATAGATAACATAACAAGTATATTCAGAATATCGCTATCCTAGAAGTAGCACTAATATAAAATCACAGGATGATTACTAATGTTCGATAAAAGTTTATAATGAGTACAAATTTTCATTATTTATTAATTATTGTTTCTTAAATTAATATCAACTTTGTGCTCTTAATTCCAAATAAAATTTTTCAATAAAGTAATTTCACTGGCTATGTAAATTAATATCATTTGTAATAATCACAAACATAAATCTGAACAGCCAATTTTTAATATATATAGTAAGGTGTACATGACTTTTTTACGGAAACATAAAATATATCTTTGTTATAAAAGCATATTGTTCAAAATATTTGTTAATAACATTTTAAAAACAATGTTAATATGCAACAAATTAAATTTTCATAAAGATTCATAAAATAAAATAGATACTATTAAAATAGATACTATTTCTCTTAATTATGTATATATATATATATATATATACAGATTTATATTATTTCTTCATACATTGCAATTGTTCAAAATAAATATTGTCATTCAGATAAAAGTACTTGAAAAATACTTTTCACTATTTAATAATATTAGAACAAAAATCGAAAACTCAAAATATAACCACTGCCTCTCATTGCAGTGCTCTCAGTGCAATTACATTCCGCGATAAAAAGCACAGAAATTTTTTAATCATTTGTCAAAATTTTTACGTGGTTTATCAAAAATTTTTTTTAAGAAACCTGTAACGTTTACGTAAAAAAGACAGTACCATGTATTTTCTAATGTTATAGAAATTACAGACATCTAGCGCATTCAGTAGAAACAGCATTTGTGCAGGAACTAAGCAGCAAATAAATCGATTATTAAAGCCAGCAGAATATATCTCGAGTATCACAAACTATAGTAGTTTCTTCAGCTAAACATGCTCATTATTGCAATTATAAGAATTAACATACGATAATATACGATTATTATTCAGATAAAACTGCATGACTTGAGCATATATAAAAGTCACTTGCTCTCGATCTCTTGTATTAATATTGAAATTGCCAATGCTCACAAAAAAGCGTAAAATTCATAGCAATAACTTGCTGAATTATTTTACATAGCGGCTTTTACGCTTGTTTCCTAGCGCAATACGTCTTTTGATTCCATTATTGATTACACTGTGTATAAGGTTTTTAAAAATTTCGGATTTACATATGAGTCATCTCTTTTTCTTTAGTGTCGCAGTCTATCATCATTCTCGCGCCCTCGATAATGTTATGATTAGGATGGCCGATATTCTAATGTCGAAATTTTTATCAATTAAATGAAAATTGATATCTTAAATATCTTATTTTAATTATGGAATTCAGCCAATGGAATAGATTTCAGTTAGGACCAATTAAGACTGGCAACCTTATTGGCGGAATTTTAGGATTTTAGGATTAAGACCGAAGCATAAACATAAACCAAGCATAATTTGATCGACACAAAATCGATTCATTTCTGATGTTGCATTGCAAAGTGGGAAGAGTGAATCAATATTAAGCCATGCGATATCTTTGTTGCGATAATCGACTTTCGAAATACCGGAAATAATTCAAGACGTCATGAGGAATATCAGTCGTGGAACAAAAATAAGCCAATGCAATGAGTATCTATCTTAGTCACGGGCGGGAAAAAAGTAGAACAAAGTTGATATTACATTCTCGAACTTTTAATATCAATCATCTACGAATTCGGCCAAGCATATTGCAGTTAAAATTTCTATTACAAATATTACACATCCTCTTTTTTTGTAACTTATTCGCATTTTAGCATACTATTTTTTATTTAAAAAGAAAAGAAAAAGATAACTAATTAAAATACAATAAAAAGATCTTTCACGCTTATTTAAACGAAAAAAGGTAATAAAAAGCATTGAAATTATCTGATAAAGTAACTAAAAAGAAAAATTTGTACATAAGACGCACACCAAGAAAGACAGAAAAACCGAAAAATAAATGAACAAAGAAATGTGCAATCTCGCATTTTACGTAGAAGTATACGCTCGTTATGTATAAGTATATAGCACTTGTAGATGTTTCCGCACTTTAAAAGTGCCGTAAAACATCTTCCTTGTTTCTTTTTTTCATTTTATCTTTTATATGTATATACAGATGTATTGGTCCGACGAGGATCCTCCTAAAGGAAGAACTCGTCTTTCCCCCCTTCTTACGAAAATACACATTTTTTTGATATACATGTCGCGAATAGAACTCGAAGATACGTCCGCGAAAAAGCGGTCGGTGTGTGAGATCGTTATTACCGATTCGATAAGTCAGTGCTGGGCAATCTTAAAAAATATACGCATACAGCTTACATATACGCGATATACTGTCTGAAATAACTCCTAATTCTACGTATTGGATAACACAGTTAAAATCTCACTACATTTTCAGGACGCTGATTTTACTGGCTAACGATCGTTTCTGACTGAAATTTACCGGTCACGTTTACCGGAGATGCTATCGCGATATTTCGCATTTCTAAGCGTCGGGAATTATTGCCGTTTGTGAGCATGCCTTTTTGTATTGCAAAATTGTCTTATATGAAATTTCGAAAGTATATAAATAATTTTGTGCGACTCTAATCTTGATGTTTAGCAACGCAAATAAATTAAAGCTCTTTCAATTAAACGAATTGATCCCATACACACAAAAAAATATTCTACTCCTAAGAAAAGATGATTTAGATTACTTTTTTCTTTGATAAAAAATATTTTCTTCATAATAGTTAAAACATACTTAAAAATTTAAGAGAAAAACTTATTATCATGTACTTAAAATAAAAATTTAATTTTTCCTTTAGAAGACTATAATATTTCATTCCGAAGAAGCGACTTTATAAGTATATGTAATAGACAAATCGAATTTATTTTGATTTAATATATATATTATAATCTTATAATTGAAAAAAGTTAAAGTTATTGGAATATATTTTGAATAAATTGGATGCTTGTGAATTTATAACAAATTTGCAAATATAAACTTTTAAAATACGAAACAAGAAATTGATATTCGAATATAGTATTTTTTCTGTGTGTATAGGTTATTCTACATTATCTTTCATTTGCACGATCACATTTAAATTAAATTCCATCATCAAATATTCATAATAAATTATATGCAGCTGAAGCATCAATTGACAATTCATAAATTATTGGCAAATAAATCAGCTTAAAATATCGATAAGATAACAGCCTCTGAACAAAGCATCTATTTCAAACAGTACGATCGTTATATAAAAATGTAAAAAATGTAAACCCGCGCCCTGCGCGCATTCGTATAAAACTCTCTTTAAATACTCGCATAATTATCCTTCCCAAACGATAACTTATGATATCTACAGCCTTTGCCCAACACTGCGAAGGTATGCGTCTAAAAATGAAAAAAAAAGAGAAAAAGGAAAAAAAAAAGAAAGAGATCGTGAGTGAATAAAACGATCGACCGGAACTGCGATTTTTAAAGGCTATCCTAAGGCTATCTAATTTCACTTTTTATACATATTTATAATAAACTACAAAATATATATATATGTATATATATATATATATATGTATATATATATATATCACTATAATTAGGAGCTGCGCGATCATATGCTCAGAGGCTTTAATCACAGCTTTGTAGTACACTTAATATCTCATAGAGCTGCCCAATGACTAGCCGACAAAAAAGATCAATCGCGTTCTCTCATTGCACTTCATTCTTTAATATGTTCGTGAACCAGAAATCACGCGCGTTCTGGTCTCTTCTCTTACGCGTAATTAACTTAATTAATCGCTTATTTAATTTTAATCAATGCGATTAGTCGCTTGATTAACTACGTTAATTAATGAAACAATGGATTTAACCAATTTGCCCGGTTACTTAACTCATTTCGTCCACAAACGTACAATTTTACGTTTTAAACTCTTCTTCATCAATGAAATACTTTATCGTACTTTATCCTCTTTTCAGCGCGCTTTACAAGCGCTTACATCCGTGAAAAACGAAAATCAGAAAGACAAGAGAGAAAAAAAAACAGATAAAAAGAGAGAGAATAAACATTTCGCATCTCGTAGTTCGTTACAATAAAGATCAGTCTTGTCCAGGTGACTTCGCATCCTCTTTAAATCGAAAGCCTCAGGCATACGCGCGCAGGATCATTTTGATCATTTTACGTGAAAATTAAATCGCTAAAAGAGATAGAAAGAGAAAAGAAAAAGAGAGGGAGAAATAAAAAAAAAGAGAGAACCACAATAAGAAAGTTCGAGGCACGCTAGAACGAATAGTTTCTTTCGATTTATGTACCTTCGTAGCTCTTCGCGGTTTCGCATGTTAAACGCGCAATTGTTAGTGAATTGCACTTACACATAATCGCAATTATCTCAGATTTCGATTACTCGAAAGCGATGACCGCGTTTAAAAATGTGCTTTGAGAGTTACTCTCAATTTTACGCGCGGTTGTCATGGTTCCCTCGCGCTTGCACTAAAACACGTGGCGTGATGAAAGAAAGAGAGAGAGAGAGAGAGAGAGAGAGAGAGAGAGAGAAAGAGAGAAAGAAAAAGGAAACAGAAATTATATTATATAATAAGCTAATAGCTAAGATCATTCGTGAAGAATCAACAGCCTATTACGCCTTTTACACGATAGAACTGCATTTGTTATGACCTGCATCCTATTCTTCCGCTTTATTATACATTCGTACGTCGTATATGTATATGTATATACAATATATATATATATATATATATATATATATATCTCTGTACATCTCGAGATATGTGGAAAGTAAGTACAACTATGGAACTGATTGAAAGCTGTGTGCTCTACACTCTAACGAAGAACAATTTTCGTTTTATCACAAACGCGCATCTCGTCACATACGAACATATTCGTCGATGTTGTGAAGGGATGGACGTTTTACGATCTACAGGGAAAGCGACAGAAGGAATTCTCGTAGCGTTTCAAGCTAAAGAGAAACCATGACGACTATATGACGTGATCGTATGCACTACACGTGATTGCCGAAATAAACGCGCGCTCTCGCATGTGTGAGTGTGATCCTTAGCGATAATGTGATCGTAGTAGTTTCTTCTTTTTTAGTAGTATAGTAGTACATAGTAGCAGTAGAATAATAGTGGTAGTAATAGCCGTAATAGTAACGATAGGTAATGTATAATTTGGGAAATGTCGGTGGTGGTGATAGAAGTGATAGTGGTAGTTAGAATAATAGCAGTGATAATAGTAGGATTAGTATAGTATTACTGTTGTTGCTGTTGTAAAATTAATAATAGTGTCTACCAAACACACCTTCGGTAGAGACCAACGTTGCTAAAATTTTCGATCGCCTCGTGACATTGCTTTTTCATTTTCCTCGTTTTGATATTCGTCAAAATAGTAAAACCAATAGTTTAAACATTGTAGATAATAATTACTATCTATATCACAGATTCAAGTGACTAAACTCCTTTAAAAATATAATATAAATATGTGTACGTGTCGTAATGGTTCGCATAATATATATACACACATATACATAGATGTAGATAGGTATATATGTATATATACACTCGCAGAGACGTGATTAAAATCAGGCGAAATAAGAGTGCTGAAATCACGGAGACTCGTAGAAACGTTACACGCTTCGGTTTCAGCTAGCATCGCATACGGATAGCGATCGATTCATTAAAACGATCTGTGCCGGCACGATTTTATTATCCAACGATTAAAAACTCCGCTTCAATCGGGTGCTATTCAATCCCATGTTAAAAGATGTTTATGAATATAAAATCCATTAGATATACAAAGAGACGCAAAGTAGCAAACATTTATCGAACAGTAGTCACTTCGCAATTGATCGAGCTAAGTCGTCGTATCCCTCCTAAACCGAAACTGAGATCGTATTTCTTAAACCGTGACGAGCGAGCATCCGTTGTTACGAACCGAAAGTGGATGCTCGATAGGCACTTTGATCAACCGACACGATTAAATAGCACCAGTTTCACTGGTATTTTCGTTCGCGTTGGAGGTCGAGCGATGCTAGATGAAAACTCGCGTTTTTTAATTATTACGCTGCATATATTCCGAGTACGAAGTACTCGCGGGGCTCGTATTCGAGTACTGAGCGTATAGATAGAGTGCGGGATGAAGCCCTGGCGGAGGGATGCCGCGGTGCAGCTGATGTTGCGACTCCGATGTTGGATCTAGAGGGGACGACAAGTGCGAATAGAGTTGGGAGTTGGGGCTTTCCAAGGAATTGGAGGAGCCCGTCGTTTGGTAGACACTCTGCGGTGTGCTCGTGTGCTCGGTGTGAGATATAGGTGAGTTAAGTGTGAACGGCGAAGACGCCGAGGTGGGACATACTACTTGCTGTGGTGATTGATGTTGCGGCAGGGACTGGGTAGCGCTGCTGCTGTCTAAACACTAGTTGGTGGTTTGTGGATGCAGCAGCGGTAGTGGAAGCTGTAGATTGTTCTGCTTGGCTAAACTGGCAATCTCCGCGGCGATGCCCGTGCCTTTAGCTCCTGCGAGACCGTCCAATGACGACGGTCCTTCGCTGTAGCGCAGATCACAGACCGGGCTCTCGAAGCCGGTGCCCGGGGTGCCGGCACCGCTGCTCTGCGGCGTCGGTGGATTGTGATTCGTGCTCTGAGTCATGTCACGGTGCACCCGGTTTTGATGCCTTATCAAATAACTGTCGCGTACAAACGTACGTCCACAGAGATTACACTCGTAAGTGGTACTGGCGGTATGTGTACGGATGTGAATCGCAAATTGACTTTTGGACGTGAACGTGAGAGAACATCGGTCGCAGACCAGAGGCTTCTCGGCTACGTGGCTCCAACGGTGCGCGGTGACGTAGCTCTTAACGGCGAAACGTTTGTGGCAAATGTCGCACGCATACGGTCGTTCGCCCGTGTGCACTCGTTTATGAGTATTGAGACTGCTCTTTTGAGTAAACCTTTTCAGACACAGCTCACATTGAAAAGGTCGTTCGCCCGTGTGCGTCCTCATATGCACTTCTAGATAAGGTTTGCGGCAAAAACTCGCCTCGCATACTGTACAATGGTAGGGCTTGTTCCCTGAATGAAGTTTCATATGCACATAATAGGACGAAGCGGAGGACAGTACCTTGCCGCAGACCTTGCAAGGTTGAGGTTTGGACCGTGAGCCCTCTTTAACGGTCTGTTGACCCGTAGACTGACGACTCGGTGACTCCTGTTGCATACCCTGACTCTGCTGTTGCTGATTCTGTTGCGGTTGTTGCTGACTCTGCGGCTGACCCTGTTGTTGCTGATTTTGCTGCTGACTCAGCTGCAACGTTTGCTGCTGAGGCTGCAGGTGACCCTCTTGCTGGGAAAGATCCTCTCGATCATCGGACAGATTCACCAGGGAATTGGATCCATCTGAACGACTGGAAGCAACCGAATAGAACCCCATGGGTTCGCTCTTGATCTGTTGATCGAACATGGACGTCATAATGACAGTCTGCTGTGGTTGAGCCAGCTGCTGAGACTGCTCGTCCTGCTGCTGTACTGCTTGCTGATGGGGGAGCAGAGTCAGGTTGCGCTTGACAAACTGCTCATATCCTGTGTACCAATCCACCTGCGTGTGAGAACAAAGCTCTAGAGCGTGGTACGCCCCAGGGGCAGGAGAGGAAGGAAGAAGAAAAAGAAGTAGCGTCACCCAAGCGAGCGTGTTACCCGCGGACGTCTGCGCCGCGCATATGGCCGCGTCAGGTTAGACCAACAAGGTTCGCTTTGACATTTATCTTTGACAAGTGACAGAAGGTAGCTGGACGATCAGCTGATTGCATAACTTTTAACCGCGGGGCGCGTCGCGCACGGCGCGGACGCCACCGCGGAAGCATCGCCGGGGTCTACGATGGCGAGTGACGCGAGCCGCTCTATTTTTAATAGAGCGACCGATCGAGAAACGGCGGAAATATAATCGTCGTCGGCGAGACCGGATTTCTCCCGCGAGTGGAGGGGATAGTTCGTGTCTGTTGTATGCGCGTCTCCTCGGTGGAAAACCGATTAGACGCGCTCGCCACTTCCGTACAAACCTTTGCTAATGTAGTGGTCCGGGTCTAGGGTCGAAAAACGTCGCGCCTCATCGAGCGCACCGCCTCCCTGCGTCGTGCGGCTTCACGGGCAATCGCGAAACATTTGTACGGTCAAATTGTTTTTCTCCGACACAAAATATAAGATGGCTGCTACTATATTTCGCGACGGGCACCTATACGCGCGCACGCACACGCACACGCCGTCAAGCGGCACGCGCACCAAGCCGTTTCATTGGCTACACCCCCTAGGCCGCGCCCGCCGCCATTGTCTTTGACTCCCTCGCGATGATTGGATCGCACTGCGTGTGCGGTCATTTATACTGCCCCTAATCTATTAACTTATGCCATAATCTATTAAAATCGACCAATCATACTCGAGTATTTTCCTCTTATTCGACTGTGATTGATCAATTCTTACAGATTACGGTAAGTATAAATAATCCTTAAAAATTGACCAATCATAGTCGATTATTCTCTTTTCATTCGACTGTGATTGGTCAATTCTTACAGATTACGACAAATTAATGGATTACAGCCAATATAAATTAATTTTTAAATGATCCTATCCTCATTAATCTTCATGGCTATGTATGCGACAATACGAAACTAAATCATAAACGATAGATAATCAAAGAAAGAATTCTTCAACTCAACAATAGTCTAGATGCAAAAACGTAAATATTTACGAGGAATACAATAAATCGATAACGATAACGATAAATCGATGAGTGTGAACTGCTCCTGTGTTATATTCAATTTTATCAACATTAGGTGGAATTATAGACTCTATAACAACAATTTGTCAAAACAAAAGTGAAATCATGATCAGACTAAATCGAGATTGAGATTGACATTGGAATTTAACCTTTTTCATTCTTTTGACTAATTAGTAGCTTGAAAAACAAGAGTATACTATCTCTTTTATATGTGCTGTCTCACTGTAGGGCGGCCCGCACAGATTTTTGTATAATGCCAAAAAATCAATTAAAATCCTTCTTTTCTGTCTTTCTTTATAAAAAAAAAACTCTAGTTAGTTTTCTTACGTCCTTTATGCATTATACAAAATTCTGGAATGTGCTCCTGTCTTATAGGATATACTCACACAACTTGCATAGTCATATAAACATATGCATAAAGAAAATTATCCAATCACATTTTACGTTCTCTTTATAAGAGAAATGCGATTGGATAATTTTTTTTATGCATATGTTCATATAGTTGTGCAAGTTTGTGTAGATATATTCTTAATATTATCTTATTAATAAATTCGATTATTTGCATCACGCTGGATCAGTGCATACAAAGAGAGATGATGCATATTAAAAGCTGCTATAAAATACCTCAATGCAGTAATACAGTATAATCAACTTTAACAATGAAATGACATGTATATTTTGTTAAATAACATAACAACATCATTAGTAGATAGTTAATCCTTTATAATATAATATTTATATACCTTCACATTTGACTTTGCTAATTTCATGTATAGCAACTTTTAATTTGCACTGATTTAGCGTAGTATGTACATACAAATGATTGAATTCGCTATTACTCGTTCTAACTTTGGGCGAATTTTTTAATTCATCGATTGATCAATCGCATTACGTGCAAATGCAGCTTTTACGGAACAAATTATATTTACGCAAATTATGTTTAAAAAACTCGCCTATATTAAAGTTAGCAAAAATAATGACGAACCAATAAAAAATTTGTCATTTGTGGTCTCTTATATAAGGGTCTTCATCCGGTGGCGGATGTACAAAACAATCGTTCGAAGCTTAATAAATAAGTGACAAATATGTTGCCATAACAATAAGAGCTTGATACCCTTCGCGTGACACGACACATGAAAATTCATAAAATCCACTACAAGAGATACCAACGGAGCAGCCAATGGCGTTCGCTCTCTGTAAGAGAACAAGAGCGTCTCATTGGTTGTGCCTCGATCATCCGCGGACTTGTTCTTCGTTAGCTGCACCGTTTGCACTTTTCGAATAGGGAATGAAATGGATAAATATACGATCAAGTATTAAAGGGAGGGACGAGTGTCGCGGCAGGTGCAATTCTCAAAAGCTAGACTAGCTAGATTTGTATGTACGAGGTCGCACGTTGATGTCGGTCTGTCCGAAGGAACGGTGATTTGAAAATTCGCTATATTTACACGACGATTCCTGGAACGAACCAAAAAAAAATTGTATTCCACAACAGCAGCTTGTACCAATCGACTTTACGGCGAGCAGAACTGTAACGGTAATTATCACATATCAGCACAATTGTATTTGATATTCCGACGAAACGGCCAAGTTACACCGATTTAATATCGTATAATTATCTTAGCGCAAACGGTGTATCGACGATAGCGCGCGCGCAGTGTGTGTATGCCGGAAGAAATTTTACGTTAGGATCAGGATTCTTGTACGACGATAGATACGGTATATTGTATATGTAATAATCCCTTCCTAGATAATACGCGCAGAGATACATTCGCTTTTGATGTCTACTCCAGAAAGAGATACACGCTATTGTATTCGAGTCAGCTTCAACGGAAAACGTGTCTCGCTCGAAGGAGTCTTGGTTAACATACGTTTAATGTATTTTAGACTGGGAAAATGGCTGTACCGTCAGAGAACGTCATGAATACAAACCTCGACGATCCTGTAACAAAGGCAGTGGTCGATAATATAATGGGTAACCTGCCTACAAAAAAACCTCTCGTTCGATGCGAAGACTGTGACCTTTCCTTTACAAGTCAGGCAGTATTAGATACACACTTACAGGGTGCACGTCATGCCAAACAAGTCAGTAATAAGTAGAGACAAATGTAAGATTGGGCACATGGTTTTTTTTTATTTTTTTTTTTATTTAATGAAATGATATTACAGGTAAGATCTAAGAATATAATGGCAACTCTTGAGGAAACAAAGATCTCATTTACCAAGGATGAAGAGACAAACGGGCTCAAATGCAATGTATGTAACGTGTGCCTGAATTCAATTCAACAATTACAAACGCATCTCAATGGTAATGAATATATATAATATTACTTGCGATATATCATAAATTCAGCATAAAACATTGTAAAATTGAGATAATATTAAAAATGACATGAAACATATATTTGCAGGAAGCCGCCATAAAAAAAAATTAATGAGAGGTAATAATAAATCTTATATGGTAAGAAAAACACTGCCATATGGCCTTAAAACTAATCGCTTCATGTACCTGGATAAAATAGAGAAAAATACAGTTGTATTAGTTTATAGTTTAGTATTGTTCGCATTCGCATGCTTGACGCTATTGCTTACTTTTGCTTTTCACTTTTTTCTATGAATTAACTATGTGGAATTAACTTGCTTGCCATTCGCATAATTTTTATTGTTGTAGAATTTCAGTGCTAGTAAGCGCTTAGTAATAATTGCAATTTGTTGTTATTCTGCGTTATTATTTATTATTATTTATTTAATATTTAATTATTATTGAAAGATAAGTAATATTATATTCGTTTGCTTATTAACATGTTATCGTGAAAAACAGTTTGGTCACGACTTGTTTGCATATGTTACATTTAATAAATTAAGTTTGTTTGACTGTACCTCTTAATTCCTTCTCATGTACAAATTTTACATATGTATTACTTTTTTATTAATATTGTTGTGTTATAGAAATATTTTTTGTTATTTTTTTTAATGACTGCTTTATATATGAAAAATATTTCATGAAAAATAAAGAACAACAAATAATGCGAGTTATTAAATTTCCATGTAATGATATTGTATAGATATATGTATATGTATATATATATTTATATGTGTTTGTATACTTTCCTAAATTTACATTTTAATTAAAGAAAATAAGGAGCGATTGTTTCATAATCTAAAACAAAATTTTTTGATAAAAATTCTGTAAATTTTAAAACAATCGTAATATACACACACACACACACACACACACACACATGTATATATATATATATATACATATATAAATATTATAAATAGTATGTAAAAATCTATATTTAATACAAATATTCTATAGGTATTTATATACAATCCCTTATATTGCTATAAAAAGTTTGTAAATTAATGGATTATTTTCGCATGAAAATACACTTTATTTTTACACATTACAGAGATACTCTTAGTAATTATATATTCCTGATATTATACGCTCATTAATGACCAATCTTTTTATAGCATGAATGTAGTGTTCAAGCTGATTTATTATCACAAATTACCGCTTCTGCGGCTGTGATATATAGATAGTGTTGATCGCACATTGATGCTTAGGTGACGCCTACTGGTACTAAATTGTCTGTTGCCAGGAAAAATGACTACCTTAAATGCGATATATGTAACAAATTCTTCAACTCTGGATCTCAATATAGTGTGGTACAATATTTTTACATATATATTTGTGCATATCTAATTTTATCTCAAGATAAAGTTTAACTCACTTTATACAGTGTATTTCATATAATTATATAGAAATGTCGAGAATGTACCACAATGTATGATATATTTAAAATTTAATATCGCCCATTTTTATATATTTGCAGCATATGAATTCGGAGAAACATGCTGACAAAGTGAGGAGATCGTTTAAAGATCCAAATAAATCCAAAGCATTTGTTCCATATTGGAGAAGACCAAAACACCCAAGAAATACGACACCCAAGCAACAGATACCATCTCTGTCACTCAGCTTTGTATCTGGCAATTTTACATATCCGCAATAAGTTACATAATTTGCACGTCTCATTTGAGTTATATACTTCGAGATCGTTTGAAATAATGTTGTCCTATTAACTAATAAATCACGATCAAATATAACGTAAATGTAAATATACATAATAATAATTTTAATTTTCGTAAATCTTAAATCTGAAATATTTTTATCCAGAAGGAAAGAAAAACAAGAATCTCAAATAATATATAAAAGCAATCAAGTTGTAATCTCCTTAATATTAAGATTAAATAATTCAAAAGTTTTTGTAGAGTTCATCTTTTGAATCATTAGATAAGATAATAGATCATTGTCCAATAAAACTTACAAAATTATGTATATAGTGATGTATATTTACATTTCACTCTGGTTGTCAAAAAACGATATACTAAATTTAATGAACTACAATTAATTGAAATTTAAATCAAATGTATTTACAAGTATTAGCCTAAGTCGTCTTCACGAATAGATCGTTCATCATTTTGCGAGAGTCCATCACATTCACACTAAAAAAGCATGCAAGTTATTAGTATTTCAAATATTTTTTAATATAATGTAATATTTTATATATTATTTGCTGACATTACTTGGTTTGTGTATGTTTTCAATAAACGACGTAATTCTGCATTTTGCTTTCGTAAAGATTTCACTTCAATATTCAAATTATGTCGTTCTTTTAATATTTCATGATACTTATTAAGTCCGATTAATAAGCCATCCCAAAGTCGTTCTTTTTTGGCTGGGAAAATTTCATTATATCGATCCCAAAAATCTGTTATGTCTTGAACTGTTATATTTCGCGATACGATTGTCTTTTTCTCTGTTAATTTTTCTTGAAGTGTCTCTGGCATCTCTTTCCATTTAACAAAATGATATCTTTCTACAAATTCTCGTAACGCTCTACTGACAAACGTAGCTTCTATTTCAAGCAAATGTCCCTTGTCGCATAATAAACGTCGTTGCATTTGATCATCGTCTGTACAAAATGAGTAAAATTAATATTAATTTTATTAATGTAACATTTTTTCGGACTGTTTTATATATATACGCACACGTATATAATTTCCATTCATTAAAATTATTATAGAAGTAAAAGTGCGCGTACCCTTAACGATGTCACTAATAGATCCATCAGAAGTTGAAGTGCATTCCGCGATAGGAAGTAACGTTTCAGTTGAAGAACTTCGAGATGAAGTATCTATAATGCTCACTTCGTCGCTAGGAATAGACAATTGTTCATCACAGAGTGCTTCTTTCACGGTGGCAATTAATTTAGCTTCGTCTTTTGTGAATTCCTCAGCATCTCCACAGACATCTGCTTGTTCAACGCTAATATTTCAAATATTGCTTATAAAGTTATTAAAATACATACATTGTTTAGTTGTAACTATTTACTCACTCCGTTTTCAGAGAAGAAGATTCCTCGGTAGATCTGCTTATGTCCTTGCTCATGTCCTTGCTCATGTCCTTGCTACACATAGGACAATATGCATACGGCAGAAAAAAATTTAAGAGAAAGCCAAGTTCCTTCTCGGACTTGATATTTAATGCCTAATAATATATGACAATGTTATAATGAAATAAAATGGGATGTCTTTCATGCATATTTACCTGAAATACATTATCTAATCGTACGACCAGCTGATCATTCGCGGTGTAAGGTAAAAGTAACTCGAGCAATTTATCTTCGATCAAATAATCACAACGATCAGAAATTTGCTTTATGATATGATTTAACAATTGTCTTTCTAAATTGATTTCTTCAATGGTGGTCGCCGATTTGTAAGTTTTATATATTATTTTTTTCTCATTGATCAATGTGTTCTCTTAAAGAATGCAAGCATGCACTTGTCAGAAAATTTCATACGCAATCGATTAAAAAGGTGTTTAATTAATTTTGTTACCTTCTTCTATTGCACACATCACATTACGATAAGACGGTAAATCTTCTTTTTTTAATAAGGTTTTTTCAGGTGGTTTCCATTCCATGCCCAATAATTGTTCATATATAATTTTGTCAGCATTTAAAATCTAAAAACATTTATATTTTTAACATCAATGCTATTAAAATATTTACCTTAGCGTACTTTATCAAGCAGCTCATTTGCTTTTTCCTCATTCATATCCCAAATTTGCATAAACTTCTTATCATTGATTCTTGTGAAGTGGTTCGACTTTTCTATTAAATCCAAAATATTCTTGTGCGTTTTTATAACTTGATCAGTGAACTTCTGTATCTCAAGTCTCGTGTTTTCTTCTAATTCCGCATAATTTTTTTTCAAGCCATTGGCAATATCTTGAAGTCTGAAAAAAAAACGCCAATTTATCGGTTAATCATAATTAATTCAGCGATCTCTAGGAATAGCCTCGCTGTATTCAATCATGTAAAACAATTTAATTTGCATTCAATACCGACTTATTAAGTCTTCTCTTTTGCTGATTTTTCACTATAGCGTTTTCGTCTTCTCGTCGCTTAAGCACGGCGTAATTGTAATCTAGTTTCTCGATGTTCATGAAACAAAGCGCTTTCATGTTCTCCACCTCCTGTTCAAGCTTCTGTATCTCAAGTTCGAAACTAATTTTCTGCGCCCGGAATTCCTCCTGATGCTCGATCATTACTTTCTTCATCTCTTTCTCGTACTCTTGCATTATTTGCTTCCGCCTGTCTAATCCCGCAAGGCTATGCTCCTGTAACTTTTTATACAGCGCTTCCCATTTCTCCGAAAGATTTTGCAGCAGCATTTTATATTCTGAGTCTACTGCGTCATTAATAAGCGATAATTCGTGACGGTAAGCTTTAGTCATGATGTTCATCTAAATAAAATATACGAGCCCTTAATACATTAAGTTACGTATTAATGTGATTGCCAAAATTATTTGTAAATCTAACTTGATTGTCCACCCTATTGATTAATAAGTCTATATCCTCATTTTGACTTTTCTGATCATTAACAAATTTAAGATCAGCGTTCTCCAACTCTTCTTGCAACTGCTCGATGACGGCATCTTTCCTCTCCAAGATTTCCATACACTTGGCATTTTGGGCTTCCATTTCCGCGTGTATGTCTAATGGATCTTTGGATGCGAGAATGTTTGACCATTTCTCGTTGATCTTCCGGTACCTTTCCATACATTCCTTATCATCTTCCTCGAGCTGCTTCAGCAACTTTCTTCGGATTTCCTGCGCCTCCCTTCGTCGTTGTAGCTCCCTAGCGTCATTCGCCACTTTCACTGACGTCACCTACACATGAATTTATTTAATAATTACTTTCATGTCTTCTTTTGTTAGTATTAATAATATATCATGAAAATATAGAATGAATAACTCACAGATCCAAGTCTGTGAGTCGAAATAAACATTTTTTTATACCAACCACTTCGTCACTCTCCAACGACAAGTTTTCCAACAGGTCCGAACTAGCGAGTATTTGTCTCTCAGTGAGTGTCTTCTCGATGATCTCTTCATCTTCAACATCTAATTTTCTATAAAAGAAGTATTCACAATTTTATATGAGAAGGAGTCCGATTCTTTAATGCTATAAAGCAAGAGACAAGAATGCGTGAAAATGCAAATACAGTTATACAATATTATATAACATCACCCAAGTAAAACACATTACATATTGTGAGCGGATTGTTTAATTTTTAAGGAATATTTCTGAAGGGTTGGGAGAATCAAGGTTTGTGAATCCTTCCAAATTTTATTATAAATAAATTCACACTAAATTATTTAAATACTAAAGATCCAGCTTGATCGTTCAGGGCTTTTATTTCCTATTTGTTGTGTTTTTAAATTTTAATTTTAATCAGCCAAGCATGAAGGAAAAGTTCTTACTTAGCTAGCACTTCTAGTTGCTGTTGAATGCGGATGCGGCGCGCTAATTTGCGCTCGGTCGGGTCCAACGACGTAAGAGACAGTTGTTTTGTATCTTCCGCGAACTCGAGATATCTGTCATCCATATTTGTTCCTTACGCTCGTTTGCCACAAACGTGTGAAATAGTAAAATGGCAGATAAACCGAATTAAATCAGAAAAAATTCAAAGGATTCTAATTTGATGGTGACGTTTAAAATGACAGCGGCTATTTATGCGAAACAATAAAATATCTCAACATAAGCAAATGGTCTTTTTCTCTAGATTATAATAAACGAGACATCACGGTGTTTGTTTGCTCAATATTTGGTCGCCAAGTCAAAGCGACGATACGAACGCGATCATTTCCGCGCGTCACAAAGCATATAATCAACAGGAAAAAAAAGAAAAATATTTGACGTCCTTTTTTTTCCTTTTCCTTTTTGCATTGCCATCGTTTGAAATAATGTTTTTGAATCGTCGCACGTAGTTAAATGTGTATGTGTGTTAAATGATAATACAGTTAGGTGACAATAGCCATTATTGGTAACCAGCAATATCGTCCTAGCAATTGATATTCCGACAGATGTCACTATGCATCAAATCGCCAGACTTTCATATTGTTGTAATTGTAAAAATGATTGATTCTCATTTATACAGGCTTGATAAATTCATGGAATTAATTTCAATTCATTGCAATTATATTTATTTGCAGCTTATAGATTTTTTTATAAATAATGATTAATACATGTTGTGTGAGAAAAAAGAATGGAAACAAGATCCACACTGAGATTCCAGCGGAAGCAACACTATTTTCTTTTTACTTACACATATATCTTAATTAAAAAAAAAACCCCCTGTAATACAAGAATGTAATACAAGAATGATTGATTTGCATAGTTTAAGTTTATAATTATCGAATCCAGAAATGCGAGCTCAACATACTGCTATTCAAATACGTCTATACATTAAAACACATACACACATATTTTTTTTAGTGAAATTTCAATATACATTTGAAGGAAAATAGAAGCAAAATAAGCTTAACCCAAGAATAATATAAGAACAAAAGCAGGACTCATATATTTAATTTAGATGCAGAAGAATAACGAAGGCTGAAGCTCAAATTTATTTTATCTTTAAAAAAGCCTTTTGACGTAACCGCTGAATAAACGCAACCGAGAACCGCCACTATTAGGCGGCGCGGAAAGCCGCTGAAAAAACCTAACAAAGGTGAAAAAGCGAAGCTTTCAAAAACGCGAAACGGCGAACGAATGAATCGCGAGTTCCATCAAGTTTGTACATTATCTTCCCGCCAGATTTACATAACATAACTTGATTGCAGTTAGCTCGATTAGGCACAATCGAAGAGAGCATACGCATGTGTATGTAGATAAAATGTATATTTATCTGTCTAAAATTCGATATTAAAGTTGAACGATCAGAACGCGCTATCGCGTCTTTCGTTATCATCTGGCGCGAGGAGAACCAAAGCCGAACGTTAATGCACCCGATTTATCTCGTCTCGTGCGTTACACGCTCGTCGTGTCGTAACCCCTTCGAGCAGAACGAGAAGCGGGGATAAGCGTCTCAATGACGAGCGAAGAAATAGCTTTATCTAATGCGATAAGTGCTATCATCAATCGTCTCGCAGAAGGCTCGAGATAATTGTAGCGAAACCGCTAAGTCGCGATTCACGAGCTCTTTTCCCCCCCCCCCCTGTCTCTTACTTATATGTATGTACTCTTGCAGTCTAACTTACATTTTAATACTTTATGTATAATCATATTTCATCTTACTTTGTCTTTGAAATTATAATTACGTATAATTTTCTTTTAATTATTGACTTTTCTTTACTGTGATTTTACGCTTGAAGGAATTTGTGTCAGAAGGCCCAATAAAAGATGCTTTCTCTCTCTCTCTCTCTCTCTCTCTCTCTCTCTCTCTCTCTTTTTCTCTGTACATATATTGTTTCCTTTTTGTTGTAATTAATTTCTTTAATTTTTATTAATTTTCTTATATCATTCTTACTTTAATTTGTTCTTAGAGGGCACTGCCCTATAATTATAATAAGCGTGCTCTCTCTCTCTCTCTCTCTCTCTCTCTCTCTCTCTCTCTCTCTCTGTTAAAATACACTGTATTATATCAAATTTGATTACATTTTATTAACTCCATTATATTAGGTGTTGGAATTAATTCGTAGCGTTTTACAAGTGATGGGAAGTACTTTCATTAATGTATTTTTTAATGCTCATGTGAAATAAATAACATTCTTTCATTAAAAACGCTACGAATTAATTCCAACACCTAATAATACGTCGAAAATATGTATACATTCAACGTCACAACTTTTGTATCGAATTCTCAGCGCTTAAAAGGATCATCCTAGATCGCGAAATAGATGAAGCTATCTCTCTCTTCGTGACTCGATGCTCGCATGGTGAATTAAGACGTACGCCTACGCACGTACTGGTATTAGGAGCATGGCAATCAGCACGTGTGTGCCGCGTATTCGCGTCACTCGCGACAATGCGCCTGCTTGTATCGCTAATGCCGCGTGTCCCAGGTGTCCCCGTTTCTTACGATCCAATTTAGGTCCGTTCGATTATCGATAGACGAGGTTAGCAATTCTAACTTCCATTACGCTGAGTGAACGAGTGGATTGTCGCTGCGATAACGGATTATCGCGATGAAGTTATTCATAACGGAATGATGACACGCGCGATACCAGGCGCGTCAACACTCACACACACAATATATATATATATATATATATATATATATATATTTACATACAGGACTTGTTTATGTAAAAGAGTATGATACTTTTGACTTTTTGAGTTTTGACACGTGAGGACATATAGGAAAAATAAAATAAGTCGCATATATCGTGTTGTAAAAAGTGCAAATGTATATTATTTTACTTGATATTATTGTACATTCTTTAAATGTAAATGATTATCTGATAAATGATAGATATCGATGATTACGTGACGATGATTATGTGGCGATGTTTATCTTCAAATTGATTAAGGCTAATTTTACTAAACATTGCTCTATCATTGTCGATTCAGTAACAACGAAAAAAACTTAGCTTAATATTAGGTGTTGGAATTAATTCGTAGCGTTTTTTAATGAAAGAATGTTATTTATTTCACATGAGCATTAAAAAATACATTAATGAAAGTACTTCCCATCACTTGTAAAACGCTACGAATTAATTCCAACACCTAATAATTAGTCGAATTTAAGTTGATCAATTAAATCGATCGTTTTTGCCTGGAAAGAATTTTTCGACGAGATATCGAATAAATAAATAGAAGCTTCGTATATAATATATTCGAAATTAAACGATAAATTATATTTAAAGCAGAGCTTCATAAAAACGAGATGTAACGTTATATTTATAATTATGCGCTTATCGCATTGTCCAGATACATCATTCGTTAGAAACGCGTGGTCGCGTCTCTTTACTTTAGAAGTTAAAAAAAAAAGACTGCGAGGAAAAACGTAACACTTGAGCATTATTCCATAGAGAACGTAGATTTCACTACGCTAAGCAAATACTGCACTTAACGGCCGAAGCGGATATGAAGCTATAAGAGTATAAGCCTCGTTATATTTTCGGTACGATATCACTCATTGGGGTATTCGGGATAACGAAATGCCCGAATTTGATATGTAAAGTAAGATGAAGAGAGTAAGGGTCATTTTCGCACATCTTTATACCGAGATTCTCAGAATAACGGTAACTTGAATAATACAACTTATTGCCAATAAAAATACAGCTATACATTGGTTAAAGAAATTCATGGAGAATCTATTTGGCCACGAATTGGTTGAAACAAACACGACGTCCTTCGACAAAACGTTCGACGTAGGCTTCCGGGAAATCGTTTTCTCTAGTTTCAATATCGAAGTCGACGTATTTCTGCGAATCCTGAAAATCTCAAAGGTGAGAAACATCAGAATTAATATTTCTAATGTTTGTCAATATCAATGTGATTACATTAATACTCTTTACTATGATTATTTACAACCGAAATTACTGCGATTTTTTCGAGTTTAATTTTCAACGCTACGCGAATTATTTCCATTTTATCCCGAACAATAAACATACTCTCTAAAACTTTCAGAGTGGAAATTGTCACTCTAAAGAGTGAAATCTCAATCTTGAAGACTGAAAACTCAGTCACTCTTTTTTCCAAGACTGGCTCAATTTTCACGCCAAAATTTAGACAGTAATCTGTATTCATAGTCAGACCTTGTATTAAAGACTTCCTTAAATTTACCTTTAGATGTTCAATAAAATAATTCGTAAAACATCTGGAGAATAAATTTAAGGGAAAGCCTTAAATGTAAAGTCTAACTATGAATACGAGCATAAAAGAATTCGATTTGAATATCAACGGAATATCAGCCGGGAAAAGAAATTCACCAGCACAAGACACACGACCGTGAAAATTGGTGACGCGACGCGTTCCCGAATAACGAAAACGTTCGTGTCCGTTTTCGGCACGGTTGCGACAGAAATCGCTTTCTCTCTAATAACATCCCAACGCGCAGTCACACGAACGTTGCTGTCGTTGCTCGCGAGTTCGACGTCGCGTAACGTGCGATATACGAACGTGCGACGACGTTCAGACTGTTCGGAGGAGCGCGACAATGATCGCATGGACATAACAACGGTTAGTTCGTTCGCGGACGTCGCGAACACGGCAAGATAAGATGGCGGCGGCGCAGGCACGCAACTAGCGCATTGTTCACCCTCAACAGATTGCCACTGTTATTTTTTTGTGTCCTGAGATGAGTCCGTGACAAAAAAATGTCTAGAGGCTATTTTCCTTCCTCCACCGGACTGCACTGGAACTTTCTTTCTCGCTTTCATCAAATATCAAATACATATCTATTTTGAGTGAAATGAAAGAGTATACTAATTCAGTTATAGAAAACAGATCTTAAATGGAACCTAGATGGAACGTGATAGTCAAATATTATAGGTAGAATAAGAATTTGATAGTTATTTATATTTTCAGTTTTATATTTCAATGCATCAATTTTATACTTTGATTTATAATATTTTTGTACGTTTATTTGTCAACTATGATGAGCATTTATACATCTAATAATATATACATTCTAATAAGCGTATTGAGCACAAGACATTCATGGTGGATGAAAACCATTTCAAAATTGTACGAAAATTTAACGAAGAATCCCGTAGATTTTTTGAAAAATCGTATATACATATATGGCAATTATAAATCTTCCATGTAAATGAACCAATGATTGTTTCACAAAAAACAGTTTCAAGTCGGCTTTGTCTTACAGAATTTGGTGTCTCAAGTCTCAAGGAGAAATTACACCAGCGTTATGATCACAAAAGAAGCATTTCGTTCCACTCACGCTTCGAAAATCATTTGGATAAAAGAGAATAACAGAAAATTTCGTAGCAAGAAACCACTTAAAAGATCCTTATTCCTCGGTCACGCCGAATCTACGAATCTACGCTTACGCGAAAAACGCTTATCCGCCCACATGGCTCATTAATACGCGCTATCAAGCTCCAGCACGTTTGTTTGATCGTTACTTCCTTGATTAGAGGGAACGTCACGAAGTTAAGTACTTTTATTTTCGTAATAATCCGATTGTCCGTCTTTATTCTCGGTAGAAAGTACCGATGCCCCGGGTAATTGGCTGCCCCTAAACCGTCCCTGAAGCAAGAGAAAAAGAGAGATAGAGAGAGAAGGAGCAAAATGCGTGTGCGCGCGCACATGAAACGAAGGGAGAAAGAGAGAAAGAGAGAGAGAGATGGAAAGTGAGGTGAAAACAAAGATGGCAGACAGGATTTGACTCGACGGCGACGGCGGTGGTAGCGCAGAAGGAAGAGAACGAATGACTTATGGAGGAGAGAGGGTAGGAGGGAAAAGAACGAGAGGCGAAGGGAGGATCAAGAGAGAGAGAGAGAGAGAGACAGACGGTGCACGATGATCTGGCGAGGAGGGAGGAGTGAGAGGCGAGGGGAACGGAAGGGGGAAGTACGGGACGAAAGGGACAAGCGCGGCTTGGGGGTTCGGGTTAGCTCGTTCGACCCGTTATCCCTTCTCCGCCTGTGTGAGTCCTCCCTACCTGTCCTTGCTTCGATTCGAACGAGTCTTCCCCACCCCTTCCCCCTTCCGCCCCTCACAATCGAAAGCACGCGCGCGCGCGCGCGCACACCCTCCCGTTGTTTCCCCTTCTCTTTTTCCCCCTCACCGCCTGGCGGGTGACGATCGCGATCGCGAACTGCCGCCTCTCTCTCTTACGTAGACTCGTTCCGCTCCCCTACTTTGGCTTTCCCACCGCGCGGCAAACAGCATTGCTAGCCAGCGAGCCTCGCTCTGCTCCCGCCACGGTGACGTCACTCTGAGTAGTGTAGTGCAGTGAGAAGGAGCCCAAGTGTTAGCTCCCGTCTGCGTTACATGGCCCGAGTGTGAAGTTGAGAAAAGCGGAGTGAGTTTTAAAACGGAGACGTGAAATCCTAATACGGCAGAAACGCAAGGCCGAAACGAGGAAAAAAAAAAAGAAATTAATAAGCGAGTGAGTTTGTTTTCCGATGTGCCCGGCCGGACGTCTCGGCATCGCCGCAATCGCCGCGCGCGTGCACGCGTATACGTTCGTGCGACGACAACGGGAGTTTTACGCCGCGTGCGTGATCGAGATTATCAAGAATCGTACGTCGAGATAACTCGATCTTCGCGGTAGTTCGCGGCTGTCGCCGAATAGTGGTGATACAACAGATATATATATATATATATGTATATATATATATGATATATATCTGAAAGATAAATATTGTACGTGATATATACTCGGGTCGCGAAAGTATATACGTCGGTGATATGTGAAAAGGGAAAGAAGGGGGGGGGCAAAAAAAAAAGAAAGGCAATTGTCCCTGCAGTGAATATACTTGGGAGAGCCAAGTTACGGTTTACGTGTATATGCTCTCTCCACGACCACGCGTGCCGCACGTATCTGTAACGTACGTGTATACGTACGTAACGCACGCGCGTATATAGCGCGTGTGTATGTGTAGTAACGAGTATAGGAAGGAGAGGAAGAGGAAAACGGAGCGCGACGAAGTTCGAATTAATTCGCGTTATCAGCAGTGGGTCACGCGCACGCACACACGCACACGCACGCCGCTACGCCTAAAACGCGACCGAGGCTCGCGTCGCTTCGACGAGAGAATTTCCGTGTTTCTCGCGTGCGCGCGCGCGTCTGTAAAGTGACGTGCCGTGCCGTGACGTGTCGTGTCGTGTCGTGCCGTGCCGTGCCGTGTCGTGCCGTGTCGTGTCTCGCCGTTCTGCTGTGCCGTCTTGGTGTGCCGGTGCTGTGGTGCCGCTCCAACGGAAACGGAAACGGAGCGGAGCAGAAAAACGCGGATCGTCGCGGGTGCGTCGCGGAATTATGCCGCGCCGAGATGGATCGGGATCGGATCCCGCGGCCAGCGCGATCCGGGAAGTGCTCGTCGTGGCTAAGTGACGTGTGATCGAAGGAGCGAGGCCGCACAAAAGGTATCTCCATACGCGATACGAGTGATATACGATGTGGTGTTTTTCGGCGACGTTACTACCGATCCTCGCAGTCGTAATCGTCAGTGGCGTCCGCTTTAACCAAGGCTCCTGCTACTCTTTCTCCTCCTCGACCTTCTCCCCCGCGTCGTCCTCGACGTCGGAGCGCGTCGTCGTCGCGGCGCATAAGCCTGAGCCTCGCAAGAGCCACGTCGCCGTCGCCGTGGCCGTCGTCGTCGCCGCCGTCGTCGCCGTCGTCGTCGTCGTCGTCGCCGCCGTCGTCGCCGTCGCCGTCGTCGTCGTCGTCATCGTCATCATCATCATCATCATCCCGGTGATAGCCACGGCCGCTGTTGCCGTGTCCACGCACGCACGTGCGATCATCGTACCTACGTCGACGTGCCGCGTCCTCGACGACGACAGCGTTCGTCGTGTCTGCTGGGCTCATCTCTTACCGGCTAGTGACTAGTGATTCTCGTTTTGCCCAAGTGATCAGTCAAATTGGGAGAGCGTGGAGGAGAGAGGGACGAATTGAAATCTCTCCAGTAGTCGGTAGAGATATATATCCAAGACAAGGAGCAAGGAGGTGGCGGATTCAGTTCCTAAGGAGAGAAAGATGGAGGCCAGCCTGTTTTAATCGATCGGAAAATTGCGCGTTTTTTCTCTGTGTGTTGGTGGAGTGTCTGGTGAATTTATTCTGCCCTGATCGAGGTTGTGTGTCGTTGTACAGTGCCTCCAAACGATACCACAACATCCGATCCCAAATGAAGAGTTCGGAGCAAAATGGTTAGAGAGACACGTCACCTGTGGGTTGGAAATCTGCCGGAAAACATCCGAGAGGATCGCATCAGGGAGCATTTCAAACGGTAAGATATCTTGTTTCTTTTTCTTTTCTTTTTTTTCAGAATCTCTGCGTATACACGTATGTGACGCACAAACTTCTCGCTTAAACAACCTCTCGCGTATGTTCAGTTTTAAATCCATCGCTTCCATAAATCGCGTTTCGTGTTTCGTAGATCGCAGATCTAGTTTTGTCTATAATATATATATATATATATATATATGTGTGTGTGTGTGTGTGTGTGTCTCCTATTGTATCATCAATACATTCTTGCTATGTAACGTTTTGTTGTATTGATTTAGAACAGCACGAAAGTTGAAATCTTCAACACATGTAGATATCACCGGCCTCGAACTTGAAAGATAAAGATAGTGCTTTTTTCTTCCTCTTTAGAACGGAGGAAAGAATATTTCGTAGCTTGCAATCTCAAATTTACCGACAGATTTTTCTGAAAAAGTCAAAGTCGAACTTTTCTTAGAGAAATGATATTCAGGAGCTAATAATTTGTAGGTAAATAAATAATTTTTAGATAATATTTATTTAAGAATTATGAGCAATTGAAAGAGGAAGTGTTTTGATTTTACTGTAATTGCATTACTGTAATGATAAAATAATTATGCTTAGAAACTCCATATTTGTATAGTTATTAAACTATAATGCTATAGTGCGAATATAATTATAATTTTTGTATATATCAAAAACGTATATTTTAAATATAAATTAAACAAAAATATTTTTTTAGGTACCAACTATATGTATTTATATTTTTTATGTAGAATTGTAAATATAGTTATTCTCTCTCTCTCTCTCTCTCTCTCTCTCTCTCTCTAATATGATAATAACTATAAAAATGGAGTCCCTAACTGCAATTATTTTTTCATCCAATTATTATATATTTTATCATAAATGCGAAAAACTTTACTCTCAATGCATAAACAGATTATATAAATAAAATATAATATGTATTCATCTCATATATATCTCATAATGTATTCTTCAATCGAAATGCTAACTAATAAAATTTTTTAATGTTTAAAGCTTATTTTTATGAAAATATTTAATGTTGAAAATTGATAATATCTTGATAATTCCGCTGAAAAAAATTGACTTAAAATTTAACAAAGAATTTATCGTTAAACTAAGATTATTAAAAGTATGTCGATTTTATCGGAAAAAGAGAAGGAATTCCATATGAAATTTCCAAATTATGCTGTGTTAATTTCGGTTGTAAATTAATAGCGAATTGATAGTTTTAAACATATTTTCCAAAAAATAATTATTTTGAAAATCTGAATGTTTAATTAATTTTACGAAATTTTAAATGGAATATTTAAAAAATCTAGCTATTATAATTACTTATAATATTTT